TGCATGAATTTCTAGATTTTTTCCGGTAAAATCTAGGTCGTGGTCAAATAATCTGGTACAATTCGATGAAGAAGTTGAAAACCACTGCTCTAGCGGATACCTACAGGGTGTTCCATAAGTCCCTTGACCCCTCCCCCTCTCCTTTTTTCATGTTCCAGGTGAATTAGGGTTAGGATTTGTGTAGATATAAGTGACCAAATCCCTTTTACGCTAGAAGAGTGCCTAGTGATAAGTGTTTGGGTGCATGAGCGCCAACAAAGTGGAAAAAATATGGAAAATTTGTTTGACGACCTTCGAACTCGATTTGGCGAGAATCCTCCATCAAATGTCCTATCGCACCTGGCGCAGCAACGCGTTCAGAATACGATGGCGTTCGTACTGATCCCCTTGAATAATCCCCATTTTCTCGAGCGAGGGTTATTAAATGTCAATATGAATGTAGTTTCAAAAGGTACATTTTTATTTTTTTGCCACTATTCTACAAGAAAAAAAAGGGGGGGGGGGTCAAGGGATTTATGGAACACCCTGTAAATTCAGGAATTTCATTTCGCACATGACGATTGAGGGCAATTGTAGAATTTCAAAAAATTGCAAAAAAATTATGACTTACTTGATAGATTTGAGAATGAAGTCTACTTCTTCTAAGTCACTTCTACTCTTTTCAATTTCAAATTGTTTGGGCATTTCCTTTAGAAAATTTTCTCGCGTCTGTATCACCAAATGTTGATTTTCATGACTTGCTGCGACACTGTATGACCACCTCAACTGAGGTAGTAGAAGCTTCAAATCATCTGCGACATGAGTCGCAGAAAAAAATAGGCTTTAGGGTGATGCTAGGGTAGGGCTTGACACCGAGTGCTCCAGTCCCAACATGAACTCCCTCCCCCTCCCAGTCATGGCCTCTCCGGACTTCATAAACGCTCGCTGGGACGAGAGCAATCCAGGGAATCACAGGCCAGCCGATCTCACGAGCTGGGGAAAACGGAAGGGGAAGAAGGGAGGAACGGGGATGACCACGGAACGGATCGCAGAGGATCGGGCGAGGGGAATACCAGACCGGACTTCCGACGTCATCGATGACGTCACGCCATCCGGGGGCAAGAGTCTCAGGGATACTCACGACGTCGTCTCTGGAGTCACCTGTGACGTCGCACAACTCGTCACCATCCGCGTCTGGGATCGCGACAGCACCCTCTGACGCGCGACCGCCTCGGCAGTCCACGACGTTCGTTCGTGCGGGAGGGTCAAGGGATCTGCGTTCAGAATGGCTTGGATTGGTGGTGAGGCTTCATCGTGCGTTCCCATTATTTTCTGCTTCGGGGTAATGGAGGTTTCATTCGCTTGAATAAGGGACTGATGAATTGGTATGACGCATTCCTGACGCAGAAATAATATTTATCTCTGGGATAAAAACCGGCACAGGCACGCAAACCGCCAAAGATCGTCTCTCAGACGAAGATGAAGACGAGCCATCCGGCAAAGCATGCCAGACAGGTGTCAGACTTTCCCACCTGACACTCCCGCATAATGCAGTAGGAATTCAGGCGAAAAAAAATCATTTATTCCGCATTTCCTCTCCGTGGGGGACTCATCTGCCCCAAAAGTGCCCTCATCCAGCAATGTCCACATAGTGGATACATATAGCTCTCACGTGACCCCGAATCAAGGTACGAAGTACTGGAGACGACTATTTTTTTTAATGACTCGGACGACAAACTAAATTTGATGCAGTGTATGTGCGTTGCTTTTTCATCCTCGAAATGCAGTTCCTCTTTTATACAGGGTGGTCCAAAAAATCTTGAGCTCCAAGACTACCAATCCAAATGTCAATAAAATGAAATCAAATTTTTTTCTGGTGCTACTATAAGTATAAATAGAGCATTGCTTCACGTCAAAAAACGTTAATTTAATTGTGGTATGAAATCTCCAGGAATTACAGGAAATTTTAAAGTGGTTTCCATATTCATCAATGCACATCGCAACTCGCCTTCTGAACTGATCGTCCTGTTTATTTCGGCTTGATCCAGGAGTTGCCAGGCTTCATTAACACACTCGATGAGAGGATTTTCTTCCTGAATGGCTTCAGTATATACGTGTTGAATTCTTTCCCATACATGATAATCCACTGGATTGGTGAATTTGGGGGCCATATGTCCAAGTATTCCGCAATTGTCCAAGTATTCCTGTTGTCCTTTACCGTGTGGAATCTCGCTCCTTTTTTTCCCTGCTCCGTTTCGAAGAAGCACGTAGTCGTTCCCACCAGGTTCGTCCACGTCGGAATCTTGAAGGATTGTCTTAACGTTCGTCATTGCATTGGCTTTCGTGTTTTGTCGCATGGCAATCAATTCGGGCTTTTCAAGTTTTGAGACAGCAACGGCAACCACTACTTTCTTCCTGAAGTGGTTTCGAGTTGCCACGAGTCGTTCGGAAGGAATTTCGAAATTATTTGCAACATTTGCACAGTCACGATCGCTTTGAGCGCTGATGGGATATTCCACTGCATTGCTTTTTCCTCTTCAAAGAACGCTTTCTTGACCTTGGCCATTGTCATTTTACGTAAAACTCGCCTGTACCTAGCGAATCTCTTATGAACTTGAGGCTTTTGAGCGTGAATCCTCTAGAATGATTTTAAATTCAGTCCAACCTCTTGATTAGATTCACAGAAGACCTGCTAATGTTCAGAAGACGAGCAGTCGCACTTTCGCCTGTCCCTGCAGTAGACCCTCTTGGCTACAAATTGCTCATCTGTGTTGATGTTCTGCTCGGTCCTTACAAGTCTTGGGTCTGTCGCTGCCAACTTTTCGTCTTATTGGACCCAGTACTGTCAACTTTTTTGAGGGAAAAGTTGATTGTACTCGAAGACCAGGTCCTATTGGGGAAAATGACCGCAATCTTCTTCGCACCGTAAACATTTTTTTGGCCTTTGATCAAATCTTTGATCATTGACAAGGTTGAATAATTATTCTCACATTAAAAAAAGAGTAGCCAAATTTAATATCAGCATCAGCCTAAACCCGTATATATAATTATGACAACATCCTATCCAAAGCACTTGCTTGCATGTTCGACTTAGCCTAAATCAAGAAATATCTTAGGGGAGTCCAAACTTTTTTGGACCACCCTGTAGAAATGGGGCTGTAGAAACACGCCGTTCGCGTGTTTATTGTTTTATTTATTTTATACACTCGACACTTGATAAAAGTATGACTAACAGGTACTACATAAAGCACAATATTTTATGTACTATTATCACCGTCTTAGAAACGCTAGCGAGAGCTGTCATTGAAAGTTATGGCCCAGATAATCATAAGTTATCATAACAATAAATAATAATAATAAATAACATAAAGACAGGGCTAGGGTTAGCCCAGATCCCAGGTCATAGTGATAAATTTGAAGAAGAAATGAAACATGCGACAGTAGAAGGCCACGAATTCCCCACCCGAAGCCAAACCCTAACGCATCGACCGCCATGTGCAATTCAAATCCGCATTGAATGAATGAATTGTTCATAGTCCACGTTATGCAAGCTCTACAGGGACACAATTGATGATTCGGTCCTGTAGACAGAGGAGGCATCAAACACATCAGGAAAGATGAAGAACATACTTAGTGAAAGGAGGAGACTAACAGTGCAATTTGGATATGGCAAAAGAAAACAATAAACTGCGTGGAAGGGGATGGGAAGGGAATTGAGGGAAGTGAGAAGGGCCTCACGACCATGTACAGGAAAAATGCTGCATATAAGGAAGTGGAGAGAAAGAACAAATCTGTGGGGTGTGTCAAGCAGGAGGGAAAAAAAAAAAAACAAAACATGAGTGGAGCGTGATAAAAGTTATAGGATTTTGGTGTTGGTGAAGCATTATGGTAAGTATTGCGATAATAAGCGATTTTAAAGGTCAGTTTAAAATCATTGCATGATCTGACAGCATCTAACGCAAGTACAGGTGAGATTACGTGTATGCGTTGGTATGTACAAGATTTACTGATGAGGCACGGCCGGATATGAAGGGATGAACAAAAGGCAAAAGTGACGAGTGGCGTACCTTTGCCTTTCTGGGATCGCTTCCTGGAGAGCATGCGCTCAGAATAATGTGCTTGTTTTCGTCATACTTTTCCGATATGCATAGTAAGATGAAAGCATTTTCCTAAGGCTGAGAGCCTTCAGCAGATACAAATCCCAAATTGTGAAGGGGTTGAGTAACCCCCCTTCCCCCCCGAATTTGTCGGGGCGTAAACCAGTGGTTCCCAAACTTCCTTTTATTCGAATTCAATTCGAATTCTTTCATTTCCCAGTGGGTCGCGACCCACTGTTTGGGAGCAACTGACAACCCCTCCACAAATCGCAGTGCATGTGCAGGAGTGAAAATTCATGCGCAGTTCATCCTCCGCATTTGCCAAAAACATGCTTGCTATGGAAGGGGTCACAAATGTTCATTAATAAGATGGACGTTACCTTTGTTGACGTCGGTACTGATCGAACGGTCGTGTTTTCTGCACAACTTGTGAAAAAAAGGCGAAGTGGTCGGAGTGTAGCGGACGACAGCAATGACGCAATAGCAAAGATGGAATCAAGGGAAGGCGCATCAGACCCGTGACCCTGTGTTTCCTTCTTTTGACCCAAAACCAAGGTTGACAAGTGGAGCCTAGTGGTGCGCATCAGCATTAACATACTTATTCATATTGACTTTAGGTGTGAGATAAATAAGCTAAAGTATGCAGGCGGTGGCAAGAGGTTAGTAGGCCTATTATTTCTTATCCCCTTCCCGACAACGTAGGCTACTCCATATGCTATCCCTACTAACTCATAGTTATTGAGACGTACTAATTTAATTATGGTTTATTCCAGATTGAAGACGCAAACTTAAGCCTTACTGTTCTATGTCATGGCCAGACTCTAGCAATGAGAAGCACTGGACACATGGAAGCATCAACCTTTACCTAATTTTAATATCCTCAAGATAGTGAGAGTGACAGCGGACCACCGAAAAAAGACAAGAATGCCACTGCTTTATTCAGTTGTTGCACGTGGGACAACCATCCTGGCCAAGCATGCCAACTGCACAGGGAATTTCCAAGAAGTCCTCAACCAAATCCTGCCAAAGATTCCTCCAGAAGATTCCAAACTCACATACTCTCATGGCAGTTATCTTTTCCACTACATCATGGAAGGTGGCATCATTTATTTGTGCATTAGTGATGATGTGAGTTCATCAGGCCTATAAGTAATTCAGTGGACCTATACTGGTAGGCTTATTCATGATACTAAAATCATATAAGCTCTCTGCTCTACTCACAATTTTTTATAGGATTTTGAGAGGTCTAGAGCATTCCTGTTTTTGAATGAAGTCAAGAAGCGATTTCAGATGACATATGGATCAAGGGTTCAGACTGCTCTGCCATATGCAATGAACTCTGAATTTTCTCGGGTTCTTGCCAACGAAATGGTGAGGTGAAACTGCAATGATTTACCAATATTTTTCTTTGTACAAACATGAAGTGATGTGAATTGCTTCCTTCTTGTGTTTCTCAGCGGCATTTCTCTGATGCTAGGGATGATGATACCATTGCCAAGGTGCAGGGAGAACTAGATGAACTGAAGCACATCATGGTGCAGAATATAGGTATACATTCACAAATTCCTGTATTGTTTCTCTGATGTTGCATTCATGTAATGAGCGTCTGACTTTGGACTTTATAGACAGCCTAGCATCCCGAGGTGAAAGGTTGGAGCTTTTGGTGAACAAAGCTGAGAATCTGAGTGCTTCTGTATGCTGCCTCTTCTAATTTGAAACCTTTGCTGATATGCTAGAAATGGTTCAGTATTTGTTCTTGCATTTACAGTCTGTGACATTCCGAACAACAAGCCGAACCCTGGCTCGAACTCTTTGGTGGAAGAATGTGAAGATGATGGTCATCGCTGTGCTTATTGGAATAGTAAGAAGCATCATATAGAAATTGAGACTGCTTTTGTTTCACATTTTAACACAAGTTGTTCTTATCTAGGTGGCATTGTATATCATTGTGTCTATTGCCTGTGGAGGTTTGGACTGGAAAAAGTGTGTCAAGAAAAAGCAGGCCTGAATCATTGGCATTGCCATCAGACATTCACTGCAAGTTTCTTTGTCTGAGGATTATCCAGGGATTTCAACTCTTCATGAAACACTTCCCCTACCCCCAAGTATATTGTGAATCATAGATGAGACTGAAAGTCATTCTTTTCTTGTGTTACCCATATGGCCAAGTTGGTTTTTCATGTCTTTCAGTGATATGTGACAATTGAATGATATGGTTTTGCCTTGTTGCAGTGTCAACATGGTGAGAATAAGTATCATATTCTTTCATATGTGTGCAGCAACATTAATTCAATCAACATCACCTTTTCTTATAAACACAAGGCCCTAACTGTAATGCAGGCAAGTTTTTCTTCACCTTGGGGGTCTTCTTGAAATCCAGGAGTAGGAACATGTTGTTTACCTCCTTCTGATCCAGGCATTTGAAACCAAAATCACGCAAATTCTTGATGAATGAGGATATATCATCAAACCTACTACTCACTTCTGCTACCTTCAGGAATCCTCTGAAATTTTAAAGAAAGTACTTCAAGATTATCTCTTCCACTTGAAGGATATGAGAAATGAGGCACTAGACTTGCCTATCATGAAGGACCCTGTGAGCCTCCTTGATGTAATCATTGAGGTTTGTTCCCATGAGTGAGAGACAGAAAACTGCAACATGGACAGATGAGGACTTGAGTGGCACATGGGCCATGTCACACACAGTTACATGTGAGGCTGTCTGGACCAGATCAAATGAATGGACTTTATGGTATGGTAATGAGGCTGCAAGTCTTCCTTCTCCACACCCAAAGTCTGCTATCACTGCTGTGGTTGGGCTGAGAACATTTATGAGGGTTATTATGGTATAGGCAAATTATAAAAAGTTGAAGATGAGGACTCACTATGTTCTGAGTTCCTGGATAATTAAATCAAGGGGATTGGTAGGCCACTTTTCCACTTGACTCTTATATCCCTTCTGGTAATCTGTATAAGCTTGTGGGTCAGTGGCAAAGAGGCGTCGAGCCTCTGTTCCTGAGCTCTTGTAGAGAGTCTCATTGATGTGTCGAAACCTGGCCGCATTCAATCGTTCTGTACTGCGTTGATGCAAATTTAGAGATCGATCAAGAGATGTGATGGGCCTTGCATCCATCATTACGCTCCTCTTTTTCACTCTTCCTGTTCCCTTCATTTCAACTGGAGACAGCATTTCCTTCAGTTTCATCAACTTTCTAAGGGATGGCTTAGATGATTGAATTTGTTGCTTCTCTGCCAGTTCAGAATCATTGGACCCATTTTTTTCTCTCTTCTGTTTCCTCTTCATTATAAACTTCTCCTTTTTAGTTCTACCATGTTTCTGGTGCTTCATCTCTGTGACCACTGGAAAGCCAGTTGTAGTTAGTGTGATAATGAAAAGTTCAGCAATGCAAACTTAGTTACCTTGCAATTTTGTACTTGCCTATAACATATGACACCCATGGACAGTTCTGTTCAGGGAGGATCAATAGAACCAAATGTCACATTTCCCTAATTGCTTCAACCATGTTAACAAGAATGGAAAGCAAAATAATTCTCAACTATAGTGACAGAAGATTATCTTTATCAAATTTAAATGAGTTCAAGGTGCTTGCATCCAGTAGAATAAAGAAGGCAAAAGTCACTTTCTCTTCAGCTCATCCTCAATGCTGACATGAACTCCATGTCTCCGATATACTAAGTGAGCCTGAAAGAAATATGTACATGAATCAATCAGGGTGTTAAGACCTATCAATCCATAAGATATAGAAAGCCATTAACCTGGATTATCTGAGAGAACTTAGGTCTTCCAAGGAGTTCATATGCAACACCAAGAAGATGCTTGATGTATGAGTGCAATTGAGACCCGCCAGAAGTGAAGGCATTCAGTCCTAGTTCCAATCCCATGCCTGGGTCCCCTTCATCATTGGCAAACTGGACATTGGTCACCAGCTCCTGCATGGCATCATGACCTGATTCCAGCTCCTTCTCTGACCTTGCTTCCACAATCTTCTTCATCAACTTCTTGAGGCTTGCTATAGGCATGACAGAATGAGGCAAAACATATTTTTAAAATGTGGAAGAAGTCTTGGCCTGTTGTTAAATTCCTGTAACTTTATTTCATATTCTCCAAGAGATACCAGTGTTCCATACTTTGTCACAGGAAAAAAAGTACTTTTCTTCTCTTAAAGCATCAGTTGAAGTTACCAAAATAAGCACCTGTTGGTGCCACCTCCACAACCCATGCTAAAAAAAATTGCTGAAATGTTTGCTGTCAGTATGATTACACTTTAAAATCTAGTATGAGAAGAGGTTACTCCATTTTAATTAAGAGATAACCTGAGCAAACTGACCTGTAGTTTCAGGGATCTCTCGGTAGCCCAACTGGGACTTCTTGTTGTAGGGGACAACCATGCCAAGTCCATGGAAAGGCTTGGCAATCACATTTTTCAGTCGTGCCCGTGTATTTGATGTTGTCTCACTTAGACTCAATTCCTTCTCTCCTGCCAACTTTTCAATGCGTGAGATCAGTTTCTGAATGGGTGCCTTGTCAAATGGACTTGCTTCATCCAGCTTCTTCTTCAGGTACAGGCTGCATAGACATATGCCTTTCAGATAAAAAAAAAAAAAAAAGACTGATAAATTAGTAGGTGAAAGAAGCAGATGCTTACTGGATGGCAGCAAAGATATTCTCTCCTGTGATAGAGAAGTGGCCTCCCTTTGAGACAATATTAGAAGCCAGGAATGCAGGTGGAGAATCTGGTTCATCCCTCCAATACCCAATGTGGTAACCATCTTCTCCTTCCTCCACCAACACGGTCTAGAAACAAAGAATCAAGCCCATGCAGTTGTTTCTAACCTAACAGCAAGAAAAATATATATAATTTTTTTTTTAACAACTAATTCACAATTAACAGTACCAATAACTCAAGCATGACAGAAATGTTAGAAACAGATCACAGCCCATACTTGAAACTCAGGTGGGTCATAGTAGAAGCGATAGTGTCTGAGGTAGGGAGACAGCTTCCTGCAGCCAAGTTTTTCCAACTTCCCACTCATGAGATCAAATGGACCCACTGGTTTCAATTTGGTTGGTTTCAAGGCATCTAAAGGGAAAGGGTTGCTTCTTAGGCCCCAACAAAATGATCATCACATGATAAAGCTTACCATGTGGATTCTTGGAGTCAATGGACCTGCAAAACTCCCAAAACTGAAAAAAATCAGGGGGCATAGAAACAAGAAACTTCTGTTTGATTTCATCTTCTATTTTCAAAAAAGATGGGAGGTCTGGCTCTGATGATAAGTCTGGGGCTTCCAGGAGCTCATCGGGGTCCTATGAAAAGTAAAATGTCTTTCAGGAAAGGAAATGATAACAGTAGGACTGTATCCTTTATCCATACATGTGATTGCTTGGACTTCTTTGAAGGAGGAATTGAACCACCAGGAGAGGAATCTGTGGTGTCTTGGAATCGTTTCTCCTTGTCCTTACACTGAAGAAAAAATGAAACATTTTCTGAAACATAGTACTTCAAATTATGAGAAGGGGGCACCTGGCAGAACACTCACTTGAGATTCTGTAACTTCCTTAGGCTTCACCTTCTCTGAACTAGGATGATTCCTGTTTTGCTTCTCTGTGGGAGATGTCTCTTTCTTTGGCTCACTGTTTTTGGTCAGCTAGTCATCGCAACAGTAGGTGGAAAGAATGGGAAAACAGCAAATACATCAATTTAGAGAATGTCCATCTGAATTGTGAGCTGATGATTTCACATGGGGAGGACCGGTAATGAGGTTTTCTTCCAGCATGTTCGGGATTAACACCTTTCTGCCATATGAATCATTGGTGTGTGGTTTTCAGGCCATTCAACCCTCCAGGGTCATTCGCATCATTCACTTTACTGGACAACTATAACTTTTACCACTGGAGGGAAAACGTAAGAACCCCTTGGTAGTGAATGTGTTAAAGTTAGAACAATCATACAATTCCTGAAAAAAAAAAAATCTTTTCCATTCCTTCCCACACCCAGGCTCATGTCATAAGCTTTCTCATGAAACACTGGTCTGAGATTAGTATCAAGAGGATACAAAATCTACCTTTTTTCCCTGCCAGGGATGAGAGAAGCCAGCCAGATGATCAGGATTCTTTCTATAACACAGGCTTCCATATTTGCACACTGGCTTTGGTACTCCATCAATCTCCATGTTCATGTGCAAGTGTTCAAATACTAGAAAATTCACTATCCTTCATGAATGAGAGGTCCAATCTTCAGGAGCATTGGAATTCATATTCATAAGAAGACATTTCAGAACTGGAATTGGTGTTGCAGAGCCTTCAGTAAGTTTACTGAAGTCCTCCAATGGAAGACAGCAGTGGTATTATTGTCAAAAGCATCAGAAAAACAGTGACACGGGGAAAGACAAAAAGTGTTTTCAAGTCCAGTGGAAAGTGATTTATATTTTCTTTAAACAATGATGACACAAGACCACCATATGAATGAAACATGATAGGACACTGGTATCTGACATGTCAAGGCAATAAGAAGAGTCCAGAAGAAAAGGGCAATCAATGCAGTTGCAAACAAGTGGCACTTAAGCAACTTCTGAAAAGCAGATGACACTCATAGATAAAGGGTAATATCACAGTGAAGCTTGAAAAGAGTGCTGCTTCATATGAAAAGTGAGTCCTCTCACCTCCATCTCCATTTTCTTTACTATTCTCTATCATGACTCATTCTCCATCCACATCCTCTTTAACTGCTCCTGCTTCAACCTCTCCTTGATCTCTTCCTTCATTCTCTCTGACTTCTTCTGTTCCTCTTCTGTTTTCATCCACATCTTCCTCAGTGACATCACCATCTTCCTCATTGTTTCTTTCCTGCTGCTCAGGCTCAGGGGCTGGAGGATCCAGCACCACAATGTCTTCAGGATCAGGTGCTCGTGGAAGGAAATCCTCCCCAGGATACATCCTCTCAAAAACTGTTCTTGCCTAAATGCCCCCATCATTTACATTACATATGAAGGCAGAATAAAGTCACACCATAGCAAAGAGCATAAAAGAAGACAGGCAGGAGGCCAAGTGTTTAGTACTGCATGAGATGAATTAGGTGTATGATTCACAAAGTATATAAATTCAGGAAACATACTGACATCACTTTAAGTTTTGGTTACTGCCATGGAATGGCTGGATGTCCACAAATTGCAATCAATGTATATACTGAAATACAGGTTCCTATTTTCTGGCAAAAAGATACTTGAATTTATATCTTTTTAATGCTTGGACCAATTATCATGAGATGTGCTCTTATGAGCAGGCTCCATCAATATTGGTTCATATTGCAAGCTTTGCAGTTCTCCACAGGAATATCCAGTAAAATCCTGTCATAAAAAGATTTTACTATTTATTCCTGTGGAGGTTTCCAAGTTTGCATGTATAAGTTACCTAAGCCTGGGGGGAAATAGTGATGAGGTTGTCTTCCAGCATGTTTTGGAATATAGATACAATAACCAAGAATGTTGGAAGTGATAGGGAGACTAGAGTTTGTTTCACCCCAGTGTTAGGCAAATACTTTCCAGAAAGCAAGTGGGTCACCTATTGGTGAGGAAAGAGACTTTCACCACCCTGACTCCATTCCCAAGCCTTGATTCAAAAGCCCCAGCTGCTGAACTTGGTAGAATTAGAATTAGAAGATAGAAGCTGATACTGCAACAGTCCACTTTATGTCTCTGTTCACACAGCCCTCTGCCTCTTATTTGTCTGTCTTCTCTTGTGGCAAATGCAACAGCTTACAGGGAGACTTACCTGCTGAACATGAGAGTCAAAATCAAGCTCCCACGACTGTCCAGGAACAAAGAAAAGTCCCTGAGGGAGTTCAGCATCAAGAAACTCTGATCGAGAGTCATCCTGATCCTCATAGATGCAGTACCACAATACAGCAGGCTTCTCTTCAGCAGTCCTCTCAGAATCATCGGTGATATGGAAGTGAGACTGTATGACCACCTCAAGGTCCTGGGAGGTTCCATTTGTCATCAGGTGCACTAAGTCTACAATAGAAGCATCTCACATCAGCCTCAGATCAAACATGGTTAAATGAGTGTCTGCAAGCCAACAGTGTACAAAACAGTATATAAACATAGATAATATAGAATATATTGTGCATACAGAATGTACAGTCTCATCCAAACGTCTTCTGCTTTTATAGGCTTCTTTCCTTTAAGTAATGTCAGCCAGTAATTTCTGGGACTAATATCCACCTGGCAACACTATCTGGCCATCATTTAGAAAAAAAAAAAATTTTTTACAAAGGTTTTCCTTGCTTTCAACCCTCCCCTCCCATACTTCTATTGCAAATCATGTTTAAAGATTCCTTCACTTGTGCATACACTACAGATAGTGACCAATAACTATGACAAACATATAATGAAATAATAGTTTAACGGCCAATTGAGGGGAACATTTGGCAGATTGCATGACCCAAAGACAGCCCTGCTAGTCTGAAGTGATCCCTCATGGTCAATGTTATATGAAACTCAAGTACTTTTTAAAAATCTCCTCCAGCTACAACAATAAGAACAAACTTCTCGGTAATCGTCTACGATGTGACCCCCCCGTACTATATGCATCTAAGGTGTGACCCACTGCAAATTGTAGCTATACTGTATAGCTGCATGGACAGCTGGGCCCATGCTCTCAACCAATTGGGCCTCTAAAGCCCGTTGCTAATTGGCTGATCATTGAGAAGGCACACACCACACCCTCGTCCCTGATTGGCACTATATTAGCGATGTATAGGGTCAACAACATGCACATTTTGTCTCTACGTGTTTTGCTTCACCTGTTCCCATGCAGACACTGGAGTAAGTACATATTATTGTTTTCCTTTTTTATTTGAATATATTGGAATAATCCATCCATGGTAACATAAGTTGACAAGCTCGTGTTCTTGTGAACTGACCATACTTGCTCGCGAGTTTTATGCACTCATGAGTGAGGGGAGTGCTGTCACTTGGTTATAGGCGCAAGGCGCATCACAGGACACAGCGGCACCTCCTCGATGTACCCGCCCTGGATGTGATGGGGGCACGCAATTCATCACTCGCCAGAAACGGAAGCCTGACGGAACCATCGCTACGTACCCGGCGTTCAAATGTGAACAACGTGGAATGTCAGTCCACGCAGTCTGTCCGGCGGCCAAACGAATTTTTCACATACTTTGATTATCGCGGCAGTATCCCAAATTGACGCAAAGAGGCTCTTCGGACATAGTCACCAGGCCGTCGTAGATTGGTACAACCTGTGCCGAGACGAACCATTACGACTGTGGGAGCGGCGAGCGAGAATGGGTGGAGTTGGCACCATCGTCCAAATAGATGAAACTTTACTTCGAGGGCGATGGAAGGCACACCGGGGACGCCTGCTCCAAGGTGGTGATGAGGCAGCGGGAAACGGGGCAAGTGAGACTGATAGCGACGGGGAAGATGAATGCAACGCTGTGGTAGCTGGTGCGCGAAACCCCGACCGATGGATGGAGGGGCCGTGGGTATTCGGACTTGCTCACAAGCGCCCGGATGGGTTTATAGAGCGTCGCTTCTTAGTAGTGCAGCGCTGTGAAAGAGCAACGCTGCATGCCATAATCACTGCGGAGGTCGAGAGTGGCAGTATCCTCCACTCAGACGAGTGGCCAGCGTATGACGGAATTTAGGCTCACGGATACGAGCACCGTACGGTGAACCACAGCGCCAACTTTGTTGACCCCGACACTGGCGCCCACACCCAGCTTATTGAGAGGTTGTAGGAGGATTTAAAATTGAAGGTCCTCAATAAGATGCAGGGGACAACGCCAGAACTTCTACCCAGGTACCTCGTTGAGGCTCGGTGGCGGGGCCTCAACCCGCCGGCTGGAAGGTTTGAGGCCTACATTCAGGCATTAAAATACATTTTCTATTGAGTGCCTCGGGAGTTAATTGTTTGTATATTTGTATATATATGAAAATGAAATTCACATTGTTTCAGTTTATGTGAACAGCAGTTTAGCCTACCGTAATAAGTGTGGGTCACACCTTAGACCATTCCCCTCAAATGGACACTGACTCATTCTGTGTAATTGAGGGAATCGGCATTCAGTTTTTAACTCAGTAGTTGGGGATTTTCCCTTATTTATGATAGGAAGAGTCCTTCGAGACTAAAAACCCACTGCCTATATTCATGAGGGCCAGCCTCAGGTATGCCACATAACATAGAGCCCTGACCAGAGACATAGATTATTTGTTGCAGGTCTGCTTGTAAGTCTTGTATTACTCATACGCCCCAGGTGGATGAGGAGTAGCGGTTTAAGCCCAGATGCAGGTTAAATGTATAATTTTTGGGCTACTTCAAACTAGGTCTTTAATTCAACAAAATTGATGGATCTTGAGGTAAACTATGACTTCAGTGAGGCTGCTTGAGCCTCAAAAACTCTAATGAAGGAACTTACATAGATCCTGAGGGCAAGCCAGAGATGCAGAGGGAAGTTGGATAAAGTCAACTATTTCCTGATTCCTGGTAGGCTCAGGAGGGAATCGACCATAGCAAACATCTCTTTCTGCGGCTTCCACAAGTGACCTACAACAAAAAGCATTCTTTAATTCCATGCCCCTCCCTTCAGCATGTCAAAATAGGGATGGATCTGGCTCACTCATCAGTGAGGACCACAGCATGAGAATATGTTTCTCTATTAATGGGATCAATTGGATGAAAGCAACGAAGGAGGACAAGCTTCTGACATGAAATTCTCTGCTCATTTGTCAAGATGAAATTGACTTCTTGCGAATCTGTACCTCCACCAGGACAAACATGGATTTCCTGAATTCCCCGTCCCAGGTAATAGGTTCCACCATACACAGCACACATCCTGCAAAGATGCATTTACAACAAACTACAAACTGGTAATATATTTCAAGCCTTGCTATAGGACCGTGCTCCTCACCGGCAGAAGGCCTGGGCAATTTCTCCACTTCCATAAAGAGGCCAGAGGAAGGGAGAATTGCCATAACGACCAAGGCTTTGCAGGAAAAGCTGGATCTTTCTCAAAGCATTCCTAGTATGAAGGTCTTCATCAGCACGTGCAATTACATACTTTATGTAATGAAATAGGTTCTCTGGCATCTGCTTATGCTTCAGGTATTCATCAAAGGGGCGATCTTCATAACCTGTTAAAAAAAGAAAAGATGTAGGAAAAAGTAATTTAAGGATTATTATGGGAAAAATCAATCACATGTGAAAGATATGAGATATAAGTTGAGTAGCTTACAAATAAAAAGGCTTGCACCTTACCAGAAAACTCTTCTGGATGGTTTTCATAGCTCAAAGCAGCCTGCATGAACTTCATGAGCATGCGCTTCTGCACAACAGTGACACCCTTGGAGGCAAACACATCAGAGCGGGAGCAAGGAACAGGCAACAGTTTTCCCTTCAGTTCACACAAGACCTTTGGCACACACTTGAACTCCAGATATCGACCAATATTGGAGGAGATGAGGAGTTCCACCATGCTACCTCGCGAATAGAGAATCTAGCACAAAAAATCCACATGCAAGACTGCTGGGAGGCCAAACCAAAACTCAAGCTCAAAAGAACTGTTTCTTGCAGTGTCTTACCCTAGGTGATAAATCCAGGTTGAACTTCATGTTAAACCTCTCTAGTTCTTGCTGAGTCCACCTATGCTTGGAATTCCTCACAGTATAGGTTGTTTGGGGCCATTGTTCCTCATTTGATGTCTCTGATGTATTTTGGCTGGATGTTGGTTGATCTGTGTTAATGCCATCTCTTTCATCCTCTGTTTCAGTAGAGTCTTCTGAGGAGCTCTCACATAGGAGCCTGACAAAGGGAATTGCAGAAACATTGTTTAATCTCTATCAGCACTTCAAATTTTATAATGCTAAGCTATCATACCTAGGAGACCACCACTGCTTGATGTTTTTGAGTGTGGGCTTCTCATTTAGCCTGATGGTTGTACTAGAAGAATGAGAAGCTGTGGACACATCTGGCTGCTCAACAGAAGAAAGCAGTTTCTCTTGCTTTGCTATCCATGATTGGAATCCCTTCCAGCTGAGTGTGGAGAATGAGGATCCATAATGCGTATCCCTATAGACATGATGGATAAATGCAGATTTTGTGTTCACCTGACTAAATATGCCACTCTGAAAAATACTGCTTTTTTATTTTCTCAAGTACTCACCAGTCCAGGTGAAGAACTGATTTTCCAATTCGACTGCAAGCTGCAGCTATTATGGATTCAGCAACACCTGAGAACATTGGACACCATCAAGTAATGCATAAGAAGTTCATGACTTCAAAGCTGATACAAGTAGTGTTAATACACAGTAAACTCACCAGTTCCAAGAACAACAACTTCAAACTGGTCTGGGAGTCCATTTTCCTTGTTACCTGACATTTCATTTACATAGCAAGACTTGATCTATAAAAGGAGGATAATACATCTTAGGTGGCTCAAATCAAATCAAAGCACCTATCATGCATAGAGATATAAAACTTTAGCAGGCAAAATGCCAATGCTCTCACAGAGGAGAGCTAAAGTTTGCCTCAAGAAATTATTGCTTTTCAATATAAAAAAAAATTCATAAGAGTTTGAAAAGCACATAGGGCTGAAAGGCAGTTCAATAAGAACATGACAGTGATTGCAACGATTAATCAAACTGCAATCTATGTGGGAATAAAAATGGCAGGTGTGACTTTATAAATTTTAGGCATTAAGATTTAAAGATGGCTTTGATGAAACATAATCAAGAGTACATGAATATCAGTGGTGTCTACAAATTTTGGGGCACTCATAAGCACATGTCTTCCATGGAAATAAAAAACTTGGACATATAATTCCAAAGAAAAATGATTGAAAGATTTTGGATCACAGCAATTTCAAACAATAGAGATGATCATCACGGCACCCAACAAAAATCAGGTTGCCACAGTGCATGGGAGAGGAGAAGATCTCTCCAGGCAATTCCTCCTTGATCAATTCCTTCCCATCTTCTGATGACAGAATATAGAGAGTTCCCCCTGTTGAACACCCGACTATGAAGTTGGGGGATTCATCACAGTTAGATGTCATCAAACAAGGTATCACATAAACAGCTGAATCTGTTGGAAAGTGCCATATATGAGCCCCAGTACTACAGTCTATCTTCAAAATTTCATTTCCATGGGTTCCAATAATGGCACAGTTTTTACTTTTGCCTTTTGGACAGTGTTCAAATGTAGCAGATGAGAAAACCATGCCAGCTACATCATACTTCCACAACACAATTCCATCATGTGTGAAGCAAACAACAAAATTGCTGACTGTGCCAACTAACACACCACCATCCCATGGCATAGGTGAACTAAAGACTGGGACCTCAAACTTATGAACCCATTTGATGGTGCCAGTTGAAGCATCTAATGCAAAGAATTTCCCATCAAGACAGGCTCCATAAATGCTCTCTGCATCAGACCAGTAAGCAGGCGAGGAGTAGATTCGAGTTTGGCCCAAATTTGTTGTCCACATCAGTTTCCCATCGTTTTCATGTGCACAATAAACCATACCATCATAGGATGCAACAATAACACAGTCCATATTAGAACAGAGGCATGGTGAAGATCTTATTTCATTGCCTGTTTTGAACTTCCATCTTTGGGATCCATCTTGTGATTTGAGTGAATAAAAAGCACCATCATAACAACCAAGATATATGGAGGAAAACCTTGGAGAAAATATGGCTGAACATTCCACCCGGTGCGGCAGAGCCACGTCCCATATAACATATCCTGTTTCACCTTCAATACAACAAACTCTTCCTGAATGTGATCCAATATAAACACGAATGGAATGAGACTCGATTTCATATGTCACAAGGGGAGAAGCATCAAGGCACTTTCCCATATTATGTTTCCATTTGGTTTCCATTTTGTACTGTAGGTTCTTTGTTTTAGAAGAGGGCCAATCCCCAAATGCTTTCCCCCTGCATGCAGAATATATATTGAGAAATTTCATAGCTTTTGTTTCATGTATTGAAGCTTCTTCACTCCATATTCTCTTATTATTCAGAAGTGGGGATTCATCATCACAATAAGCAGAGATTATGCCAGAGAAAGTTTGAGACAAGAGAGCCTCAAACAGAAATGCAAACTTTCTTTTAAAAAATTGCTCTAGCTTTGAAAGGATCTGCACGGCAAGAAGGGAATCACCACCATCTTCTCTGAAAGAAGAGGATAGAGAAGGTTTTTTCCCCAGTATCTCCACCCATAGAGTACTCAGCTGCATTTGAAATGATCCACAATCTGAGCCTGTCCCAATAGTTTCATGCAACTTCTTTATCCCAGGCAAGGTATGGTTCAACTGTGATCTATCAATCTTGCCATGGGCATTGATAGGGAAAACCTTCACTATGCAAACTACATCTGGTATGTAGGCACTGTTTAGCTTCCTCATGATGTGACCATCTACATCCCTCCACGATGAGGGGACTTCATCTTCTGAATATTCCAGGTACAACTGCAAGCATGCATCAGAAAAGACACTCACTGCAGGACACCCTAAATGGGAAGCAATACACTCATCCAACTTGGCAAGGTTGATCATATGTCCATACCTTTTGACTAGTGAATCACTTCTTCCCACATAAAACAGCTTCCCTTCTTTGTAAGTTACAATATCCCCAGTATCTCTAATGACTGGGAAGGAGAGAGATGCAGGATCTTCTCCATCCAATATACAAAATCGTCCACTGCTTGATAATTTTAAGCCTTTGAGATCTGGTTCATTTCCTGCATAATCTAATTTGAAATGTACATCAGTGAGGGGTTCTCCAATGCACAAGACATCATCAGCACTTTGGATTTCATGCAAGGAGGCCCAACTCGAAACTTCTGTTGTTCCATAGACATTGTACAACCTTAATCCCTTATGTTTTCTGAATAGAAGATCAGTGAGAAGATTAATGTTGCAAAAAGGCTCTCCTCCAAATAGGAGGTGGTGAAGGGAATCTAATGATGCAATTTTCCTGATAAACCCTCTGCTAACAGCTTGGAAAACAGAAGGGGTGATCTGCATGAAAGTCACTCCTTCATTTTCAAGGATGTTCTGGAAGACCTCTGTTTGTAGTCTCAGAGAGGAGTCCATTGTGACCAACTTACAGCCAGCTGTAATGGCACACATGAAATCAACCATGCTTGGATCAAATGTCAGGGGTGACATCATCAATATAGCATCACTTCTATTCAATTTGAAGATTTCCTGAAAGTCTGCACAATTTCTCATGATACAGGGAAATGGGACTTTGATGACCTTCCCTTCCCCTGTGGTACCTGAAGTTCTGACAGAAAAAGCATATTGAAGAGATTTGGACAGATCTGATAAAACTTTGTAGCTGTTCAGCTTCCTCCAAATGCTCCACTCTTCATCCATAATCTTGATATTATGAACAAATGCCCATCCTGGGAACGTTTCAGATCCAGACTCTGGATTTTGGGCAGTGAAGAGAAGAGATGGTTCTAGCAAATATTTCTCAAGACCTCCCATATTTCTTTCCAAATCAACGAACATGGGAACACCATTGAGGGTTTGAATGCCAATGAAGATTGAAAACGTGGACTTCCGAATGCAGGATGAAATCAAAATAATGCCAGGTGTTGCATTCGACGGAAGGATGTTGTGAATCGCATCTGCAACACACTCTGAACAGGACACAAGAAGTCTTGAATCCACACAAGATCTCTTGTCCTTCTCCCAGTGAACCAACGACACTGTAGAAGTCTTCATCATAGCGAGCCATTTTTCTCTGCTGTCGATCTCATGAGCACTCATCTCCACGTTTCACAAACTTCTTCTGATGAATAAACAGGCCAATCCCCAAGAGAAAAGTTAAGCCGACTTGAAAAACCCAGCTAGAGGCACTCAGAACGTGCTACATGATAATAACCTGGGACTGGCCCTACACTGTAAGGAAGGCGCCTTTAACATTCAGTGTTTCCAGATATTAAAGAAGAAATGCTCGAGAAAAAGTCCGCATAAAATTATCAATCAAGGTTTAGAATGATGATAATTAATTTATTTTGAATACGATTTTAATATACATCAGTATTTTTTGGAAGCCAATTGACGGTAAAGTCCTAAAACATGCTCTTACAAATATGTCCTTGTCTGGCATTCGGTGTTTACCGAAGGGGGCCTGAAGTCCACTATGGAGTCTTCTGTCTCCTGCGGGGACACGTGGTTTCACATTCCTGTTCGCGTCCCAGTATCTGGAGACTTTGGAAGTCTTTCATAGGTTCAAAGAAATGCCTGGTCCACAGCGAAGGAGGAAGTACCATCGCGGCGATACGCATCTGAAGAAAGGATGGAGAACGAAGAGGAGGAAGAAGGATTTAGATCAGGTAAAAAAAAGTAGGCATAGCCGAAGCCGCTGACTAATAACGTAGCCTATCGATAAATAATTACAGACCTGGCTAGCCTAGTATAAACGAATTGGCATGGCTTTAATTAAGTCAACATAGGGCTTGGCCCCATGTGCATGATTCCCATAGGGGTTTAAGCCTAAGATAATACTGTATTTTTCACTTGAGTTAGACAATTCTTCACTTGATTCAAACACCCAACCACGAGAAACATCCCATGCACAAGTGTCCGAGTCAAATGACAAATTGTTTTACTCAAGTGAAAAACACTAGTATAGGCTTTCTTTCATAAAAGTTATCTGAGGTATTGTCAGCAAGCCTGCCCATTCACTTTCATGAAAGTGAAGGTAAAGATTATTTCATGGAAGTACTCAAATCTATGAAAACAGTATCACAAATCGTCAAATGCTTATATTCTGTCACAAAATTGTTTAAACAATCAAACATTTACATTTTAGGTGACATGTGGAAACTTTCCTAATTTGGGAATTTCAGATTGATGAGGACTTGAAACCAAAAAATGCTGACATTTTGCTGAATCAACCAGTGGATCTTGACCTTCCTGGTAGTGGACAACATTATTGTCTTCACTGTGCGTGAGTAGCCTTCACCTGGCCTCCAATAACCTGGCACTCACAAGCTTACTGAAATATGTTCCTTTGAAATTTCAGAAGGTATTTTGTTGATGAGAGCACGATGCAGAAACACTTCACATCAAAGGTTCACAAAAGAAGAATGAAAGCCCTTGAAGATGAACCTTATTCTATTGAAGAATCTGAGAGAGCAGCCGGAATGGGGTCTTACATTCCTCCCAAGAAGAGGAAAATAACAACCCAAGAAACCAAAAAGATGGAGGATGAAGATGAATCCCCATCTTGATGTCATGATCATTCTGTGTCTTTTGAAAGGCATAATGTCTATCTCTCATTCTCAATAAATTTAAGATAGAGCCTGGTTGTAATGGAAATACTTTCACTTTTGTATCAGTCTCAGCATGCTTGTGAATGGTCTTCACAGGCTGGAAACTTCCAAATGTGAAACATTCCATTGCAGTAAATGTGTACTATGAACTGAAAGAGTGATTGCACTGCAATAACCTCTTGTTAGCTTGGAACCTTCCGGACCCGCCTTCTTGGCATGAAGGCATGAGCAGGGTTGACAAGGTCTATCGAAGCATCGTCCTTACCACCTTCTTTAATCGAGGATGGGGAAAACCTGAAAACTTGAAAAGGTGACTACCCTCTCTCCAATATAGTCTCTTAATTTTTTTTTTGTCTTCTATGAACTTTTAACAGCTACTGGTGTCTGCTTTTGGCAGGATATTTGAGTTCCGGAGGCACCTCTCAGATCGAGAGATCTGCAAGCACCTCATTTCACCTTATCATCCTATCCACATCAAGAAGGTTTGTATTCATTGGGCTACATGCATGAAACCCAAACAACTGAATGCATTCAGGGGCTCTTTTGAGAATCTCTTCAATTGAGTTGATGTTATTCCCATTGAATCTATATGAAAATGAGGGCATTCTATTTTATTCTATGAGATGAGTTCTGGGAATTCTAACCATTGGAAATTTAAAATCAAATCCATTGATAGAAAGTTCAAATACATTATATCCATGTAGTCCCATGGCTCTGCAGAGCATTTCCCCCTTCTATGAATCACCCATTCATAGAAAAACCCACTGCTTGAGGTCAGAAAGGATGAAATCCCTGGGTTTTTGGTGACAAAAAATTGGAAACTTCTTCGTGCACATGATTTCATGATTGGAAAGACTTGTGGCCTGCCATTTGACCCTGGACCCATTCAGCAATGGAAAGAGAAAGAAATTTGAGGGCAAGATTCAAGCCCTCTGCATCAAGAAGACAGATGGATAGAGCCTCATGCTACAGTTTTGGAATTATCTCCTTAGTAATATGGACCATCAAGTATCATCCATATGCAGTAAAACTACTTGGCATATCAAACCAGCTCTTTTTTTTTAACACAGTGAAATTCAGAGTTCAAAACTAGATGGGATCTGTTTTTTGTCATCAACAACCTAGGGAATGCATCCTTCCTGGCTTTGAGGAGTTGGTACACAGATGGGAAAAATGCTGTCCCAATTGCAGATGATGTGGAAAGGACACTGGTTAACTAGGACTTAATATGTCTAAGAGCAATTTTCCACCGTAAAAAATTCCCAGAACTTCAATAACAACCCTCATATTTCATGCATTTAGTCTCTTCTTTGTCTCATTAAGCTCAAAGTTAGCAAAGGGTGTTTCAGTAGCGTTCCATCTCAGAGAAGCTTTAAGAATAATTTTTAATTTCTACCAAAGAATCTCACATTTCCCTGAAATTATTGAACACATATAGATTCACATCTTTCTTCCAATCAGGTGGAGAAGACCACAGACTATGTGTTGATTGATGGCCAATTCACATCCCCATTTGTCCAGTATATGGGTGATGTTCTTCCATTAGAGTGTCACACAGCACACTTCCAACTCCTTGCACCAGCCTCATGGCCAAAAGCTTCAAAGCTTACACCCCTTTGCATACACTTGGCTGGAACTGGAGACCATGTAAGGTTGTTTGTGATCTGTAAACTGGAACTTCATGTTTTTTCCTTCAGTCTTTAAATTAAGATTTATCTACAGTTTTTTTGGAGGAGGAGGACCCTGATGGCACGACCTCTCCTAAAAGATTCAGGGATTGCATCCATAATTCTGGAAAATCCTTTCTATGGTCTCCGGAAGCCAGCAGGTCAAGTGTGAGTCCACTGGATGGCCTTTTCAGTACATGGCCACTAGAGGTATGTTATCAGTGTTTCAACATTGCAGGCGAAGCAGTCTAAACAATGTGTCAGACATATTCCTCATGGGAGGCTGTCTGATGATGGAATGTCATGCACTCCTACACTGGGCTGAGAGACATGGCTTTGGGCCTCTTGCACTTACTGGGATTTCTATGGGTGGCCATGTGAGCTCAGAAAAATTTTCAGAACTACACCTTGGTATTGTATCCTTAATCTCTTCAATAACAAAAATGAATGAAATAAACAATAGTGTCCTGATGAAGCTCTTTATCTGAGAGGCTGCTTCCAGCTTCATACGTTGAAAGCAGCTGTGAATTGTAAAACTGTACTTGATTCCTGTAATTATTTGAGCCATTTGAACTCCTATCATGATGTTTTACAGTATATAGTAAAGTAATAGGGGTAAGCACCCCAGTTTCTGACTGTTGGCCAGTGAGGCTTAAATCCAGCATAATGAGTTAATCTAGCTGTTTTCAAGAATTCTATCAACATCTTCCTGTACGAGGACCTATTACTAGTGTTTCCCAGTATGCACACAGGGTGTCCACTTCCTATGGGAGTCGTATCAGCGTGGCCAAAAACTGGGGTGTGGGCCAAAAACTACATGAAAAATTCCCATTTGTGAGGCCTTCATTGAAATTTTAATTTAAAATTTTTACATTTTTTTACAGATGGCATCAATAGCTGCATGTAATTGGCCAAAACCTGTGGCTCTTGTTCCTTGCTTGTCCTGGTCCAGTGCCTCAGGAGTATTTACAGAGGTGACCCAGGAAATCTCTCTCTGCTGTAAACTTCTCAATCGCAATGCAATCCCATGCAATTCCTGTCCTTTGCAGGGAGTGATGAGTGATTCTGTGAACTGGGCTCTCCTGGAAAACCAGTATTTGCAGGAGTACAGTTATCGCCATGAGCTCATGAAAATGGTCAATCCTGCAGGTTCTGGTGTAAGGTTAACCTTACATCATTTAACCTTAGACTAGTATTGTATTTCTTTACAATTTTCTTGATGCTACCTTCAATGGAGATTTGATAATGTCCCCGTGGCTTTGACTAATAGTGAGCTAAATAGATGAAAATATAATAATGTGAATGGTCGTCCCCCAAGTGACTTTCCTATAGAGCTAATTTCCCCATTGATTTTATTACATATAGTACATTCAGCAGTGTTCCTAATTGATGCAGCACTTCAGAACACATGGGAGGAGTCTAATCACACTTAGGATGTACCATAAATCTGTTTTGGCTTTTATTATGTAGTTATTCCTTATACTAAGCAAGATAATTTCAAAAACAAGTCACCAAATGGATGGGAATGGATGTAAGTTCATGAAATCATATAAGTTTGTTTCCTGAGGTAAAGAAAGAATCTGGAGAATTTATCATCCACAACAAGCTTCTGCTAACCTGCCATTTTCATGCTTTTTTTTTTCAACTCTAGCATGCCCTGCAAGATCTCAAAGCATAATCATACTATATTTAAATACAAGCTAGAGGGGCTGGCAGACCAATTTAATTTAGGACATTTAAATAATGTTACGCTGACTTTTGAATTTACGAATATAGAATATAGAGTAACTAATATAGGCAATGCTGAAACTCCTGGAACCTTAAGTTCCCATTGGTTGATATAGGTTAATTGAACTCATACAGGTGAAATTCATGTTTAACATACAGATACTTCCAACAAACAACATGCTCTAGCTCATTTCTAGTTCCAGTAAGATTTGATGCAGATGAGTTAAGTATGAGAAATGTCATCTTTTACTATGCCACATCTTTTGAGTGCGAGTATTGTCACTACATTTTTCTAGCAAGATTACTGGTAGATCGGAAAAGAGATATTGTTATAATTAACCCTCATTATCCCAATGTGACTTTATAGTAACAGTTGCTACCTTGAAGTCATTCATTATCACAAGGATGTGTGCATAAATTTTATAGCTGATTGTAACCTCAGGGTAACTTACTGCTTTGTAAGTGTGCCCATACTTTAAAAAATAAAAATAAAAAATAAAAATGAGGTGTGTTTTCCATTTATTCCCAAGGAATGTTTGCAAAAAATATTTTTTCCTTCCAGAAATTTATTTGGGCAATGTAGGTTCAAAGCAAAAATCATTACTTCAATTTTTGAAATAACCATAATGACATGTCATATTAACATAAAATGCTGCATTTATGTAGTTTGCTTGTCCAAGGATTCCAATTCAAGCTGTTTCATGTTTATTATACTTGGTCTCTGTGCCTGACAGAATATAAGTCTTTAATTACCCCATACTTTTAATATCCTGGGGTATAATAAGAGCAGTTGATATCAACAACTGATCAACATGCTAAGGCTAGGCATGAAGTGCTTAAATTTACTTTTCTATCCTTTAGGACACCTTGAGCTTGTAATTTAAAATAAACAGTCATGCTCTAAATGTTTTTGCATGTTCAATATTTTCACATATCATTAGTTACTGTCTGTTTTGAAGAATAGGACCAATATATACACATGTCTTATCCTCCTGATATCCATCTCTTCTGAGACCTGATGTAAAACATTCATAATGTAATGGATGCAGGATTTCATGTGGGTAGACACAAACCTGTGCTCCTGTGTGTAGTGTATTAACCAAAATAAAGAAAAGTATGGGTTTAGATTAGATTAGAGTTGTAATCAATGATTACATTGTCTGCTCATGAGCCATATTTAATGAAATCATCAATTTCTTAAAATAATTTTATTGAAGCCTTTATCTGAGATGTATGTCAGTTCAAAGAACTGCTTTGCCAGTCAGTAATCATAGTTCCAAGATACATGCAAGAGTTTTTCTTCAGGGATTACTCTAAGTTAAACTTTTTTTTTTTCTCTCTTATCTCAACCTCCCTTTTATGCTTTCAGGATTCAGATGCAGCATTTGAAGCTGGTCGTCATTTTGCCCAGAACTTTCCTTCTAGTCTAGGTCACATTGAATCAGTGTCTCGAATAATTCAAGTAGAGGAAGAGAAAGAAGGTAAAATCAAAGTTGGAGAAAAACTGGAGACTCAAGAAAAGCCTGTGGTGGAAGAGAAAAAGTCTCAAGAACGATCTGTCTTGAATCTCTTGTCAAAGATGCCACTAGTGCAGAAGACAGTGGCATCACCCTTAGGTGGTTCATCTCTTACCTCTGGACTCAACTTGAACCTCAGGTTCAGTGCATCTAAATCTAAGATCACCAACATGAAACCAGAAAGATCCAAGACTGAGAAAGATAAACTACACTCTGAGGCCCTACAATTTATGAAGGGGATTATGGATGAATGTACATTCCTGGGAAACTTTGCTCAGCCAGTGGATCCAAGCTTAATTATTTCAGTCATTGCAAAAGATGATGCCTATGTTCCTCGAGGTCATCTCCCCGGTCTTCCTGAGCTCTGGCCAGGAATGGAGGTGCGCTACATTGATACAGGGCATGTCACTGCCTTTGTCTTCCGAATGGACCACTTCAGGTGATGATAAGCTTATAGCAGAAACATATATTTTTTTATTCTTGGATGATGTATACAATGCATCTTTTTTTTCATACAGGAAAGCCATTTTGGATGCATTGGAAAAGAGTGCAGACAAGTACTACAGCTGAGGATAGTGTCATAACAGAGTTCCCCACAAAAATTTCTCAAAGCAAACAAACTAGTGGTGGAAGTTTGTAGAGTTTGAGAAGAGAGCAGGATTTTAACTGTATCTTTGCTACTCCTAGCTCTACTCAGATGGTTTTGTTTCAATGCTCATGAAAAAGTTGGAGAGGGAGTAAGATAGGTTGTTCCAGGTGAGCTACCAACTTTAAGACAGATGGTAATGCGTGTGAGGAGTAGGGGGTCAAACAAAGGTAAAGTGAATCTGCAGTTGAGGAAAACCTTGAGGCTGCATGCACACTTTGTGGGGAACTCTGTCTACAAGATCATCATTTCCTGTGATATTGATTTAGTGCAATTCAGAATCAATGTGCCTTTCAGGTTTTTTTTTTTTGTAGATTGTGACCATATTACTGTGTGCACCATGGATATCTTTATGACTCTAAAAAATTATATCTGCTTGTGTTATTAGCTTTTCTTTGAGTGAATGAAACATATGTAGGAACACATGCACTCTGATAACTCATCATTACCCCACCCAATTTCACACCAACTCTCAAAATACGGAACCAGCAACCAGGAGTGCAATGATCAGGAATGAAAAGGAAGTAGAAAACTCAGAGCTACTCATCACAGATGAAATGTGTGGCACACTTTACTGTATGTAAAAATACAAGCCAATGGCAAAAGCAGCAGCTAGAAAGGCCCCAGATAATATAATTTTAGTGTCCTTCCACCAACGATCCTTTTGGAGAGAATCATCATCTGAAACACTCTTCTTGGGTTTTCGTTTCTTCCGTGCTCCTTCCAACTTCCTTTGGATGAGCTCAGCTTCCTTTCTCTCTCGTTGTTCAGTTTCTTCCCGCTCCTTCTCTTGCTTCAGTTCTAGTTCCTACATTGTACCAAAGTTCAGATGCACTTCAGAAATGATGTCTATGCCAAATATCATATTGCAAAATCCATCTATATGATTCTATACTGATATGTATCAGTTCACAGATTCTCAGAACAGCTCAATGACCAACTTCAGGGAGAGTTAGAGAAAACATCTGGTGACTGAAATGTGCCTTCTAAAGCCAAATGGAGTATGGCTTTCTGCTGAGGTGATGCACAGTGAATGTTTGAGATATAAGCAATGTAACAAAGACAAGGTTACCACCTTGTTTGTTACCTGTCCTTTCTCTAGCTTCATCTCAAGCCATTTTATTCTTTTCTTCAAAACTCTACCTCAATAATATCACATTATCAACTGAAGGTGATCAACAAAAAAAAAGATACAGTCATGCAATGTGCTAGTCTTAACATGCTTACCCTCTCTGATTCCAGTTTCTTCTGCTGACATATCTCATCACAAGGAACACAAGCTGATCCAGCTTGAACCAAGTGGCATGAAAATTCCTTTTTAATTCTCTTGCAAGAGCATCGGAGGGATACTTTCCGCTTGCACTCATTTGGATCTGCACAGTCTCCAGAGTGACAGTCAAATGTACATCGATGAGCACATGCCATCTGCCAAATAATAATCATGCTGCAAGATCACATCAGAAAATTCAAAATAATACATCAACACTTGTATGGCTAGCACAAATTTCCTCTAGTTTGAGCAGAATGAGTCATAAGTTTTATTATTTTGTAATAAAAAAATTGTATTTTTCATTGAATTGCAGTCTCAAAATGGGAAGTATTCAGTACTCCTTGAAAGAATGAGCAATTCACCTCCTTTAATGGCTGGAATTCCATAATGCCTAGTTTTACCTTTCTCCTTTGTAACCTATCATGGAACCTCTCAAAATTGTAAGAAAAAGTCCATTGATGCAGGATTTGACTCATATGACAAATACAAATTGGTATAAGTCAGTGTCTCACCTGCTTAGGACATTGGTTTTTGCATGACTTCTGAGCATTGCGGTCGGCATCAGCAGAGTTGTTCCACTCACAGCAGCGGACATAAAGTTGGGTGAGGCCACAGTGGCACAGGATCCGCATGGGCTGTCGACATGGTGGGCATTCACCAGGATGGCACTTGCCCTTCTTACATGGATGCTGGCAGCCTTCAGGGCGGGGCAATTCACAGTCCCGCTCACAGCTTTCACAGTTCTTTCCAGCCTGTGCAAAAGAAGGAACTCTTTCACAGAAATGTTTCAAATCCTTTACTGTCTCATTGAAATGGGGATGGAACAATAATTTTATGCAAATATGTATAGGAATCAACCTCTAATCATGTTTACAACAATTTTCAAAGCTGATTTTGGCAAATGCTACTGAATGATTTTTGCAGGTGAAGTGCCCAACCCAGAGTGACTTATTTCATGGAATGACAACTTGTGTTAATGTGCAATTTTCACATCAATCTGTTTAACTATTCTATAAAATATGTATATGATGTACTGAATGAATGATACTATATGATGTACTTAAAACCACAACAGTGCATACTCTGGCAGGCCCACCTTGGGTAAAACTTATATTTCTGTGGATACCCATGAAAGGGTTAAAGGAAACCTGAAAAATTAACTAAGGAACTCAATTGTAGAAGTGAACCATCATGATGTTCCAGCTGAGGCACATTTTTGCAACAGTTGTTGATGATGTGTACAAAGCATTTCAGATTGCGAACCTCTACCCTTGGCATACAAGCTACAGCTATCTGTCAGTTTGTTTTATCTGTTTTTCTGACTGGACACCTGATATGTTCCTTGAATTTAATTCAGATGTACTATGATATGCTAGGCCTTAATCATATGAGATGAGTAGGAAGCACCTGCTGAAGAAAATGAACTCTTGAGTTTATTTTCTTTAATCTTCCTTTCTACAATTTTTCTAAATGTTTCAATATCCAAGGTAGATATTTCCTGATATATATATGTACCATGGTATAGTGATATGGTCAACAAAACACACCCATCTCCCAAAGTACCACTATGCATTCACACAACCTCAGGATGCAATTTTGCATTAAGGTCCTACATTTAAAATAAATACTTTTTCCTGGTTCAAGAGCCTGCTAGCAGGCTCTTGAACCAGGAAAAATGCTATGTAAAATTTCAATGAAATACTTTTACAGTGGGTAGCTAGCAATTGTGGTCTACAATCCACTGGAGGCCATACAAGAATAAGATCCAGAACAAGCCTCCAGTCCACCCTGACATTCACATAGGAACAGGTACATGGTATTATGTTCATGCAGAGATGTTTCAGACCCTTGTTCTATATATTTTTTTTCTTCAATTAGAATCTTTCATTTGCATGAATACTATCCTCATCACTGTAGAAACATCTGGCCATTCCCTGCCTGGAGGCAACAAGAATTTTCAAGACCTGAACAAGTGGACATAAATTCACAATTTCAAGACCTATACAGGGTGTTTCAAAAGTCCAGACTCATAGGCAGATTTCCTAATTTACCTTTATTTCATTAAATGTTCAAATTGCATGCCATGAACTTGCATACACATATCAATCCTGGGATATAACCCCCTCTGAATATTTCTTAGTACTTCTGTACTAATTTTGGTGCACTCATTCATTGAGAAACTTAATTAATTCAAAATACCCATGAGTACAGACTTTTGAAACACCCTGTATTCACAGCAAATTGACTTTAGTTAGACCTCATAAATACTGCAACAGTGGAAGAATTCAGATTAAGATAATGAAATGTTCCTACACTTTTGGTACTTGACTTACAGTGATATGAGACTAACGAATAAGTTTTGCTGCTTTTCCCTGTTTTATATTCAGTTTATATTCATACACCTACTAATGGTATAAAAATCAAATGAAAAACATGACTTCCAGTAAGTAATAGGTAAACTCACTTGATCAGAATTAGGAGCTCCTTCCACAACATGGCACTCCAAATGACACACATGTCGTGTGCAAGCCAGAAGACGGTTGCAGATCTTGCCACAAGAATATTCCCGAGCATCAGAGCAAGCCACTCGATTCTCCTCATGCTCCCCCAGGCAGATGATCTTCACTTGGGTCTAAAAAAGAATTTTGAAAAGTCACAGAGTGAAATAAGATCTTCCTGCAAACGGTGTTCAGACGGAGGAGAAAAGGATTGTATTCCATCAGAGATGAGAGACACAAAGGCACTCATGAAGGTGAAGACATTTATGCCATGAGCCTCTCCAGTGCATGAAATTTATTTTCCCTATCATTTTCCCAGTGGTTTCACCAAAGCACATTTATCTAATTAAATTATTTCCTGCCATTTAGTATTATGAGTTACTGATGCTTAAATTTAGGGTGTGATAAAACTTTGTCTATTCAAAGGTTCATCACAACACAACACAACTTCCCATTGTTTTAAAGTACCATATTTACTCCAGTATAGTGCGCCACCGTGTATAAGACGCACCTCCACTTTTGATGTCCCATTTCGTGTAAAAAAAAGATTCCTCGTGTATAAGGCGCACCCCCAAATTTCGTAGCGAGACGGACGTCCTCAGGGACAAGGGGGATGGGAAAGGGAAAAACCGGTCATCAGATCGGTTGAGCCTCATTTCCCTTTCACTTTCCTGACCTTGTGTGACAGGGGGCACATTTCAGTCTCATTGTATCAGTCTCTCCGACACATTTCATTATCCGTGAAAATGGGCAACGAACGGCGAAGTTACACTGCTGGTGAAAAACTCAGATTGATTCAGGAAGCGAAGGAGTTTGGCATCCGCCCAATAGGTCGAATGTACAACATCGGGGAAAGTTGCATATGGAAGTGGATCAAGGAGGAGACGAAGTTGAGTGGGGCATGATAGACTCGCATGGCCTTCCGTGGGAAAAAGGAATCGTTTCCGGAAATTGAAAAGGAAGTGGCCGAATATGTCAAAGAGTAAGTCCGTACCTCTGTAATAAAATTCTCTGTGAAGCATACCGTGTAAACATATCGCTTCGTTCCTAAGCATATCGAAGTCTTCATTTGGGCCCTTTGTCGATTTTAGGTCTCGAAAGGATGGTCTATGTAAAGATGATCCAGACGCGAGCCCGCGCAATTGCAAGGGCGAAAGGGATATCGCATTCAGAATTCAAAGCTTCATGAGGATGGACCACGCGATTCATGAAGTGGGCTGGATTTTCCCTTCGCCGGAAAACTTCAGTGGCGCAAAAATTTCCAAGAGACATGGAGGAGAATTCCAAAGAATTCTCCTTTGGAATTCCAAAGAGAATCTTAGAATTCCAAAGAAGCATCATCCGTACGAGGAAGCACTATCAGCATCTCATGTCTCAAATCGGGAATGCCGATGAGACCAGGGTCTGGTTTGATATGCCATATGATCGAACCGTTAACGACAAGGGAATGAGAGAAGTCCGCATTAAAACGAGCGGCGGAGAGGAGAGGTGCACTGTGATGTTAGGTTGTCTTGTTGATGGTACGAAGCTTTCTCCCTTCGTCATTTTCAAGCGGAAATCTCTCCCGGTTCGCATGACCTTTCCTAAAGGGGTTCACGTCCGATGTCAACCGAGAGGTTGGATGACTGAAAGTCTCATGATTGACTGGATAGGAACTGTTTGGGAGAATCGCCCAGGAGCCATTCTCGTTCAAGCGAATGGTGAATTGCTAAGCCTCCTTGTCCTTGACAGCTTCCGTGAACATACCATTGAAGCTGTGACGGAAAAGTTGTGAGAGGGAAAGATAGAGATGGTGTTGGTGGTGGTGTATCCTCTGTTTCCTTCCATTGTCTTAATTCTTTCATTTATAACTCAGTTATTGCATTTACTCTTGAGCATAAGCCACCTCTGAAGTGGCTTACTCTCATGACAACTTGATTATCTGAAAATGTACTACTTAATAGTTGACAGTATCAACTCACAGTTGAGGAGTGGATATACTGAGCCATAGTATGAATGTTCACTGTGGACCAGTCATCAAGGATATAGCACACACATGCTGCACAGTAAAGGAACCTCATCCCAGAATCCAACTCTGCTTGACTTGCAAAGAAACTACAAAAAAAAAAACAAATCAAGCCTTCAGTATGGCAAAAAGAAAACGATACTTCATACCCAATGAAGTGGTAGAAGATGTCAACACCTTCCATTGGGGCACTGAAGCCTGCCAATTCCTTCGAGTATGGCAGAGCGATTGACGCGGGAGAGATCATCGCCCAAGATCACGAGGGAGGCAAGACTGGTATAAGCCATTGCAATGGTTCCTGAATCCAGCCTGGGATCAGTATGCGGCTCCCTCTCATAATTTGAGGCCAACATGGATGATCCTCTGAACCCACAGCATAGTGATCCCTCTAATACAGACAATATTCATGCTGCCCTGAAGGTTAGTTGATGTTAAAGTGACATTGGATGGGTAATATCAATTTATGTTACTTTCAAATGTTAGTTTTTTCATGTGTGTCTTCTGAAAAGAGAATGCAATTCTTGAGCAATTTGTACTTCAAGCCAGCTGATTTCAATGTCAAAAGTTCAGAGAAAATTGATATTATTAGAAGACAAATTACTTAATTATCCTGTATTACCCAAATTATTAAGGAATATAAGGACTGTTAAAATGAAGACAAAAGTTTGTTCAAGCAGGAAGCAAGTAATGGTATTGCTATTAGGAGAAAATAATTCTGCTGCTACCATTATTCTGTGCTATATCTGTTCATATTAACAAGGTTAACAAAATCAAATTTATTTTGATAATTATTTTCCCCTTCCATTTATTCCCATTTCACTCAGTTCCCATTATGTTATTGAATCCAGTGGTCAGGAAGGCCAACAGACATAAGCATTCCTTTATGTTAGATTTCATGTGAATTGCAGAATTTTCAAGCAGACCGAAGGCCTAAAAGATTAAAACTTCATTACTATCATCCACTTACCTGTACGGCAGGGTAAGACTTGCAAGGCATAAATCCAACTAGTGATTTTCTCACAGTCCTCAGATACTTTTTCCAACTTCTGAAGAACATCCAAACCAGCGAAGCAGAAAAAGGCAATCACGAGCCTGGCAAATAAGGATAAAGCCACAAGATTAAGTGCACGAAAGGATCGCCTCTATCCATCCATGGAGCAGAATTCCATCTAGCGCCATGAATAGGCCTACGATTCTCACTACCTTACCTCTGTGTGTCGTAAACCTGGTAATTTTCGTCAGGCAAACCCCGGAGACACAGCAGAAAGTACCTCTCATGGCTCTTGCTTGCAAGACTGCTCATTTTTGGTAGTGGCCCTACTCAAAATTTCAGGCGCATACAGAAACGATTCACACGTGCTTCACCCGCCCGTGGGAGCAGCCATATGAGACCAGTGCTACCCGACCGATCTCAAATGTGAACAAAGTATACTGTTTCCGGATTGAATTCGTACCATCCCCCTATTGTGGTGAATGAAGGAAACACACATTTCCAGAGATTTCGCCTCAGCAGGCAATAAACAAAACCACCCATGTGTCACTACCTGCAATCGATGGAAGCGCTCCTATAGGGGTACGAATTCAATCTGGAAACAGTGTAAATAATGCAAACTTGAAAGTTCGAGACTGACTTCTCTCCCTCGAATTAATATGTAACGTGACAGTCATTTGCAATCACTTCATAGTTAACTAAGAAAATATTAGTGGGTAGTCTCCAGTCGAGAAACATTGAAAGAATCATGAATGAGGTTGTGGCGAAAAAAATGACAGGCCGTTTCTGGAAGGTTCATATTCCATCCACTGGGATTTGTCCACTGAATCTGCGATATCACCGTAGGCCGCATGTTATAGGTTGAAAAAGTATGGAACAGGAAGACACGGTGATGCATTTTCGGTTAATGTTTACATTTTGTTTATGAGAAAAAAGTAATCGATGTACAGAATGTCTAAAAAGTCACTTCCTTAGAGTAGGTCTACCATAAGGAACTTCAACCAGTGAGTAGCCAGGATTTAACCAGGGGGGGGGGTCCGGAATTTCCTTAACTTCACCTCTGTCACGGAGAAAGGCGGGGTGGCGGATCCATTTAGACCAGGGTCGAGGGGGGGGGGGGGGCTGGATGGCAGTGCTGCACGTTCGCGAGTCAACACCTATCAAGTGTAATTAAAATGAAAATTTAAATGAACGTCCAGTCAGACCGTAATATCCGATAGCCGGATCTTAGCGGGTCAGATGGAGACCTTCCGCGGGCCGCCTGTTGCCGACCTCTGGTATAAGGACATCATGGGAGAACGTTACACGAAAATATTGAAAGAGCAGCCAGTAAGCGCTGAAATCGGATTTCGAGTGGTACTGCAAAGATCTGAGCAACGAGTAGTAGAACTAAGCAACTCAATATTGATAAAGTATTGAAGTTTCAATATTCGCCATGTCCCATCATTGTTGAATTCAAACCCAGTGGCGGTTCGCGGAGTAAAAAAACTGAGTAGCAGCAGTGGCGCTTACGGTAGGGGGTGCCCCCCCCCCCTGATTGTAGCAGGCACATATTCGCCCCTCTCTCTACATCGCTCCCCCCCCCCCCCCCTTCCCTTCTTGGCTACGGGTTTGACAAAATTTAGGATTTTTGCATTCAATAATTGACCTCCCCCCCCCCCCCCCCCCTTCCCTTCTTGGCTACGGGTTTGACAAAATTTAGGATTTTTGCATTCAATAATTGTAAATCTATTTCAAACAATCAGAACTAGTCATCAAGGAAATTGCTTGCATCTAACAGGAAAAGTTACGAACATTTAGGCCTTCAATTAATGAAAATATACCATTGGGAGACACCTCAGATGCAGATCACTGTCAATTTTAACAATACTTAACAATACTCTGGAAAACCGTGCCTCTTCCAGGAGAGACCATCAACCATAGTGGGGTAAGCAAGGGGAGCCGGGATCCTGGGACTGATAAAAGCCTGTCCGGAATGATTTCTAATTCAATCTGTATGAAAATACTGTAGAGTAGGTCCGATCAGATGTGACAACAATCGAGGCTTCAACGAGCAAGTGCTTCTGCTTCTGAGCAGAGGGTTCGAGTAAGCGACTCTCATTCTTATCTTCCTGCGCAAGGAGTAACTACGCAATGTAAGCAAGTCTACCCTGTCTCATTCCAGGACTACGGACTGTCAGGGCCGTTTTTAGGCATATTGGCGCTCAGGGCAAGGAGTTCCAATGGTCCCCCCCCCCCCCTCACCCACCAAACCAACAACTGCGACGCGAAGCATCACCGCAGCTCTGGCGACTAGGGCCTTTTCCCCGGAGCTGATGGAAATCATTTTGTTACATTTGTAAATATAGTGGATTCCGTTTTATTGGGACACGTTGGTTCCAGTTCTATTCGCCCCCAATTAAGCGGTTGCCTTAATAAAGCGAACTTACCTTTTAGTATAGTAAGAAACCCAGACACGAATGTCCTTTACTTGTGCAAAACGAAAAAAAAATTACGATTCATTTGCCCATAGTTGCTCGTTTCATACCTGAAAAAGCTTTTCTGATGCACCAATGTCAAGAGCACCATGTCCTCTTATCATCCAAACCCTGCTCAATAAAGTAGCGCTGAAGGATGTTCACCGAGTGCCTGGCTTCTTACGTGAGTCACCTTAGGTAAAGTCCCCAGGTTCCTCGTCTAAGACATCCCCTAGGCGAGGCCTCGTGGCAACGTTGTCCTCGACTGTATCGTTCTCAGAGTCATCGTGTTCGGCGAAGTATGATGCGTGTTCGGCGATGTTGACGAAGGCTTCTCCGTTAGTGACATCAAGAATAGTCAGACACTCCTCATAGGTTGACGCTGGCACCTCTGGTCCAGAATGAAAGCCAGATCCACGGAAGCAGTTTGCTATGGTCTCTGCTCTAACAGTCAGCCAGATATCACGAACAATCAGAAACATGGACGGTCTCACGAGTAGTAAAGACTTTTTTATCTTAAATTCCTCAGCATTGAATCACGCAGCACCAAAACTCCCCAGGCCCCTTATACATTACCCTCGTATTATCCCGGTAACTGATAACGACCTACCGAGGCAAACCATGACCGCATTAACTCGGATTCTCACTAGCTCTATCTTTAGATGTCAGTTTCACTCACAACTACCGGATGACCTGTGTGCGAACGGCGAAATTTGCCTTTCTGTCGGCATCGGGCATCAGCCCTTTTTCCAACGCAAATAGCGATCACGAGACCTTCGTCGATCTTCGACGCGGCTCCCCCAGTTTCGGCGGAAGCCTTTTGAAAGTCGGAATGTTTCGAGCGAGAATCACATATATGAGGTAACAATCAAAGGTTCCTCAAGTAGTGTGCGACCTAAAATTTAAAAACTGTTGCCGCCGATGTCGTGAAAATTGCACGATTAAGCAACTAACAACCGGACTTGGAAAATAATATCAGCGTTGTATCTACGAGAGCTTGTGCCTCCATCTCACTGAAGCGTCATTGCTTCCTCTCTTCCCCGAATTCGACTCGCACCAGCGCCAACATCAACACAGATACCGAGAATCCTCGGAGGCTGTCACCTTCGTATGCATCCCCACACTCCTCACTCACTCCTCACGCCTCACTCCCGAGTAAACTCTCGGCTGCATTCACGCTGCTCGAGTCGACAAGTCACGCGGGTGATGCGTGGGTTGCCGTCGTGAGGTTAAGGCCTGTTTAGACGAGGAGTGATCACTCGGGAGTGCCACTCAGGAGTAGATTGCAAGAGTGCATGCACTCATGAGAGCTAACTGTTTACACGAGGCGTGCATTCTTCTTTCTCGCCAGCAGTAGAATCCCACATTTTGCCTGAAACATCAACTCCTGTATCTTGAATTTCAAAAATGATACCAGCTTTGGGTCTTGGAGTGTACGCAATTCTGCAGCCAAATCCATGCAAAAGCCGTCATGCTCCTTTATTTCCTTTGGTGGTTGTTCATGTTGCTGGGGTTTGCTGCGACTAGCTGCAAGGCTTTGTGCGACTTTTGTCAGTCCTCCAATTTCCTCTAAAGCACGGTTCATGATCTCGTCGCCTTTCTTTTGACGAGGCTTCTTTTTTGCCTTTGGTTCACCATCGCCCTGAATCGAATCTCCATCATCAACCGATTCCTGCAAAAAAAAGGGAAAATGATGATAATAAAGATTCCATATTTTCAGGTTCCCCGAACCGAGGAAGAATGGAGACAAATTGCAACAGAATTTGAAAAAACCTGGAATTTCCCGCATTGCATCGGAAGCATAGATGGGAAGCATATGGTGATAAGGCACCCACCTGGCTCTGGTTCCTATTTTTACAACTACAAAGGGACGCATTCCATTGTATTGATGGGAGTTTGCGATGCTAATTACAAATTCATTTTTGTGGACATTGGCACCAATGGAAGAATTTCTGACGGAGGAGTCTACAACAAATGTTCCCTTGCAAGAGCACTAGAGGACAATGCATTGGGAATTCCAAAAGCAGAGGAATGTGCAGGATTTTCTAAAGAATCGCCGTACGTTCTGGTGGCGGACGAAGCATTCCCTCTAAAAACGTACATGATGAAACCCTTTCC